CTGATGAAGTATATCAAACTGTAGATGCAAAAACTGTGATGAATCTTAAGCAGCATAGATGCAAAGAAGACTAAAACAAGGGTGGCACCGTGGTGCTCCAGCCTTCACTTCTTTTGGACTTTCCTGAGCTTAGGTGCCTTCAGAAAAGTTTTACAAAGCAATGGACATCCTCCAGTGGTTAACAGATTTCTTGGAATGGAATTTACTTTCTTCCCTCCTGACCTTGTGTGATTCCACATGGTCGTTGACTTCATGTCTCAAAACTGCAGCCAAAAGTGAGAGGAGCAGGGATGAGGTTCACAGATGTCACAGCGAGTTTCACGGGCCCCCATGTACCCCCATGCCCCTCCTGGCTGCATGCCATACTACAAGTTTTATACTTTTGGCTATGGATCATATAATGAAGCATATACTAATGATTTTTAACCCGTCTCTATGATCTACACAGCCGCCCCCTTAATTTCTGGGTGACACACCGTCACAAACAGCTGTTACAGTCACATCGTGTTGACTCAATCACTGCAAGTCTTAGATATCCTCAGATGACTTATACCAGTTCTTTTAAAAACAAAGGGAAAGAAGCCAGTCTTAGAAGGCTACATACTGAGGATTCCAAATATGACTTTCTAGAAAAGACAAAACTATGAAGACAGTGAAAAGATCAGTGGTTGCCAGGGCTTGGAGGGTATGGATGAAGAGGTAAAGCACAGAGGATTTTTAGGGCAGTGAAAATACTCTGTATGATAAAATAATGGTGAGTACATTATACATGTCATAATATATTTGTGAAAACCCATAGAATGTACAACACCAAAAGTAAACCCTAATGTAAACTATAAACTTCAGCTAATAATAATGTGCCAATATTCATTCATCACTCATAACGAATGTACCACACTAATGCAAGATGTTAATAATACAAGGAGAGAGAGAGAGAGAGAGAGAGAGAGAGAGTGTGTGTGTGTGTGTGTGTGTGTGTGTGTGTGTGTTTAGAGGTATATAATAACTGTGATTTCTAGTCACTTTTTCTGTAAATTTAAAATTATGCTATATGAAATAAGTCAGAAAGAGTAAGACAAATACTGTATGATCTTACTTACATGTAGAATCTTAAAAACCAGAACTCACAGGAACAGAGTAGATTGCTGGTTTCCAGGGAGGAGGGGGCAGGGGTACTTATGCATAACTGTTAGTCAAAGGGTACAAATTTCTAGTATTAAGATAAATAAGTTCCAGGGATATAATGTACAGCATGGTGACTATAGTTAACAATACAGTATTATATACTTGATAGTTGCTAAGTGAGTAGGTCTTAAAAGTTCTCAACACCCACACAAAAAAGGACTATGTAGGGCGACGAAAGTGTTAACTAACCCTATTGTTTTAATCATTTCGCAGTATACTGGATATATATATATCCAAACACCTTAAACTTACATAATGTTATATGCCAACTGTATCTCAACAAAGCTGGGAATTTTTTTTAACTGCTCTAAAAAATAAAGTTTATTAATTTTTTTTAATAAAAGGAAAACGATCCTAGCATTAGACTCACCCTTGAGCCCTTTTCATCTCAAGTTCCAAGTCAGAACTATAGCTCTCTAGGTGCTGCTGCTGCACGTTCCTGATGACCACAGAAACGCAGTGGGCTAGAGTCAGAATCACTGCTCTGGGGTCTCCATCCCCATCAGCTCCAGCTCACTCCTCACAAATAAGTGGGAAAGGCAGTATCTTCTCTACCATGATCTCATGAAGATTAAATGAGACAGACTGATAGCAGAGAATAGGTATCAAAGCATTAGTTTTCTTTGTTCCATTAGTAAAAGGTTTCTTACAGTGAATATTCTCAAAAATAAACTCTCAAGCTCCCTTGTATGCAGCTTCCATACAAGGCCTGAAACAAATGATGGGTAATTTCTGTGAGGAACTGTGCACATTTAGATATGTTATAATGACAAAGCCAGTGGATGTGATTGAGGCTTTGTAAAAAAAGATTCTCTTCAACCCATCTGAACCATTTCTAATCTCCTCTATAACTAGAAAAAGCATAAACAACTCCAAGAGAGACAAGACAATGAAAATCAATCTGTTAAACAAGAGATCGAAATGCAACTTCATTTTATTTTGCAGGGAGAATGTCTGAAACTGAAACTTCAGTATGAATAATCTCAATAAAAGAAGCAGAAAAGTGGGAGGGAGGAGACGAGGGGGAGGAGGAAATTGTGGTTTTCTCTCTCCTTGATTGTTAAATGAATATTTAGGGGGGAAAAGCCATAACTTTATCAGGCTTTAGCTTATCATCAAAACCACAATAAAAATTTACATCCTTAAACCATGTACACATCTCTAAATTGTGCCTTTCTCCCATAATATGATTTTTAATTTGATTGTTTTAGTCCCTCTCATATTTTTTTATTATTATTGCTGACTCAATCCCCAATTCCCTCTTAAACACTCAGTTCTCTACTTTTGAACTGCTTTTCTTTTTCACGCGGTCCACTTTAGACTACTTTACAATTCTTTTGAAACTGTGTCATTTAGTTTCATAGAAATAGTGGGTATGTGTGATGTACTCAGCAATGGGAGAAGAAGCCCTTTATCATTCTGACTTCCAAGCAAAGTGCTAGGAACACAAAGGCTGGAACTACTCTTCCTTTAGGAAGCAGACGCAGAGAGAATTTTTAGGGCAGTGGAACTACTCTGTATGATTCTGTAATGGTTGAAACACGTCGTTACATATTTGTCCAAATCCACAGATGTACAACACCAAGAGTGAATCCTAGTGCAAACTGTGGACTTTGGGTGACGATGACATGTCAACATGGGTTCACTGACTATAACAAATGTCCCCCACTGGAGGCGGTGTTCATAGTGGGGGAGGCCATGCATGAGTCGGGGCATGGAGTATATGAGGAATCTCTGTACCTTCCTGTGAACCTAAAAAAAATGTTTTTACAAATAAAAATTTAAATTAAAAAAAAAAGCAACTCGGAAGCCCCTGACACCCTGAGGCCTCTGAAACCTCTCTCAGGAGTGCTGCACATTCCCTCCTCTGGGAACATGAATCTACCTTTGCTCTGGCTCTCTGGGCACGATGATGGTTTATTTATGAATCTGGATTTGAACTAATCTCTCGTGAAGTCAGACGTGCACATACTCAGATGGAAGGGTCTGCACACTCTCCAGAGCAGGGTCTGTCTGGGGCAGAGCTGAGGGTGAAGCTGACTCTTCACCACACATGGCCTCAGAGCCTCAGTCTCTGCAGGTCCACAGCCCACACACCCACATGGCCTTCAAACAGCACATCAATCCCTCAGTCCCCAGTCGTGTCACATACCTGCCGTCTTGCCTTTTACTGAGGACCTTCCTACCTGTCCCACCTGGCAGACCCCTGCCTATTGGCCTCATCCCAGACTGAGAAGATGTCATCAGATAAATCTATCCCAACTGCAGTGGGCTTTTCTGAGGGAGTGCCAGCCATTAGCAGAGTCCTTATCACACTGTGGGGACTGTTACTTACTTTTAGCCTCCTCTACAGCCTATGATTTTCATGCAGAAAAGTATATCAATTCCAACAGCAAAACTTAATCCTGGGCACAAAGGAGATCTCAAGGTTACAGGAGTTCATGATAATCCCTAGATATGCAGATACAAGCAACTGTTCCTAAAACAATTTTGTGACTATGTATCTACGGAGGCACTTCTGTTTTATTGTTAGACATAAATCAGTGTCTGAATAAAGTGTGGTGGAACTAGTGTAAGAAAATAAAACTCCAAAATAAGAAACAAACTGAGAAATGACTACTCAGTGTGGTGAACTGAATAATTATTTATCAGGAAAAGGAAGTATTACAGTCACGGTCTACATTTCACAATCTGCAGCCCAGAGGTTGTGTGGGGTGAATCCTCTTTTATTCATTTCACCTCTTTGCTAGTGGCCCATCTCCAGTGTATGGATGACATAGGGGATTTTTTTTAAAGTGAGTGACCCATAAATTTTAGCCCCACATGGAACCTTTATACCATCAAGGAAAAGATGAACACTTTTAATATCTGGCAATGAAAAGAAAAGATTTTGCTATTAATTTTGGAAGAATTATTTCCATCCACAGAACTTTGCAATGAAAGGAAGGCTTCTTAAGTTGGCATTTTGCAAACCCCCCTCAGCCTCAAGCATCCCCCAAATCCAGGAGCCGTTGTGCAGCGGGGAAGCACAAAGAAGGCCCCAGCATTAGGGGTTCCTGTGTCACTGGGCCCACAAAGCAAGTGCCTGCTCCTGAAATCCTCCACATTCTGCTCAGGGAGGCCCACCCCAGCCTGAGGCGCCTGTGAGAAGACCCTGACACTGGTGGATGCCAACATACCAGCACTTTCCTAAGAGCTAAGCACTTTGTACAGGGAAGGCCTTCTTCTACACTAGAAATAGTTACTACTGGAGCTCACTTTGCTTGTAAGTCTGTGAAAATACCTTCCTCTATTAGGAAAAATCACACATATACTTGATCCCATACTTTCTCCCCTGTTTTAAAAAAAAGGCAGGATATTTACCCTCAGGGAGACAGAAGTATCAACTAGGTAATCTCAGATCCTTTCCTGAGAAATGTTGAAAGGCAGGTCTTTTGGATCTTGAAAAATGAACTAAAGTAAAAAGGCTGTCATTTATATTCATCCCTAGTATAAATGAGGTCAGACATAGCCATTGACTGCACAACTGAAAATAACATGATCTGGAAATCTACGCACAGTAAACACACTTGTGGACAAGATGGGGATGAGATACTTTTTAATCATTAGAGCAATATCTCACTGCTGGTGTCACAATCTCTACTCCTTGAGTTTTACCATTTTCAGTGTTTAAACTTCCAATAAATACTACATATTTAAGAAGTCAATTGTGAGTTTAAACTTGCATGATAAATCTCGAGCAGAAACCCACAACGAGAATGTAGGCAAGAACTGATGCAAAGACTGTGAGATCAGAAAAGAAAATAGCTTCTTACCATGTTTATTGATGACACAGGACCAATGCTGTTAACATAGATGTCAACATCAATTACGGTGGGTTTTACTGTGGAGAAAACAAATGTGTGTTAATACACTGTGCCAGAGAGACTGAGGAAAGTGCTACTAAACTTCCTCTGAGTCACACACTAACAGCTCAACGGCATGTGGGAAAGGGGTGTATTTTTCTTTGGGACTTGCCAGGTAGTTACAATTCTCAAAGGATTAAAGATTCTTACTCATATTTAATAAATTCTTAAAAAACAGGATATTTATACACTGCAAGTTGCCAGTGATAGATGACCATAAAGATACTCTATAACATTTGTTTAGCTGATTATATGGCAGAGAAAACATAAAATGATAAAATATAAGACACTACATAAGAAATTTAATGTCAAAGTTATGCTAAGAAATTGAACCCAAGTAATGAGTAATATCAGGGACAATTCAAGTTATTTATCCATTACCTGGTTGCAACTCAAAGCAAAGATCTGGAGAGTATATACACCAAAGGAGATTAAGAAGTACTGATTATTGGTGTCATTATTACCTAAGAAACACACACACACATCTCACAGACTTCAAATCATACAACTCATAAAATAATAATACTTTATGGGCTTCCCTGGTGGCGCAGTGGTTGAGAATCTGCCTGCTAATGCAGGGGACACGGGTTCAAGCCCTGGTCTGGGAGGATCCCATATGCCGCGGAGCAACTAGGCCCGTGAGCCACAACTACTGAGCCTGTGCGTCTGGAGCCTGTGCTCCGCAACAAGAGAGGCCGCGATAGTGAGAGGCCCGCCCACCACGATGAAGAGTGGCCCTCGCTTGCCACAACTAGAGAAAGCCCTCGCACAGAAACGAAGACGCAACACAGCAAAAATAAAATAAATTAATTAATAAACTCCTACCCCCAACATCTTCTTTAAAAAAAAAAAAATAACACTTTAGTAAGTCAAGAAATTACCGTTCCAACTATAAGGGAGTAAAATTCATATAACAAGAAACTGTAATATCTAACATCGTGGATCAGAGGTAAAATTTGCTCATTTAACCTTAAAGAAAATCATTTTCCCTTTCCTTGGCAGAAATGGAACTTGGGAGACCAGTAATGAGATTCCTGAGACAGCCACCTCTGAGTCAGGGATCCGTGCCAGTGAAAAGGAGGCGTCTCTCTTTCCCCAGCACTCAGCAACTGATAAAGGGGAGAAGAACACCAATTTCAGAATATTTCTGCCCCAGGGGAACATGAACAAGACTCCTGAACCTTTGCACGTAAACACAGAGTGTTTCTATGGAAACAAGGGTGTTCGCATCTGCAATTATTTCGAGCTTCCACCAGTTTTGCTAACTAATCATTCACAAATGGACTTCTGCACTCTATTTCTGGAACTATAAGTGGCACCTGTAAGCTCACAGTCTGTTGTTCAATTATGTAACCAGCAGTCTGCAGCCTGAGCCATGTTGTCCGGACCTCCAAGAAAATGAAAATAATGACAATGAACTGGAGCCAACTACTCTGACATCTGTCAGCGCAACCAAGCCACGTTAGCTTGAAAGAGCTGTTGGCATTTTGGAAAACACCGCAATACAATTCTAAGTACTATGTATCTAGTGCTTAAATTTCATAAAAGGACTATTCTTCATTTTAGGCTGAGCTTTGCTAACTACTCTGAACAGTAAGTAGCATCTTTCTTCAACTTAATTGAAGAACACAGCAAGTGTTCTGTCTCCAAACGCTGTGCTGCATAACCTTGGTAATGTTATACAAAGGCTGTGTTAAGTCAATCAGTTGAGGACCTGCTTTTTGCAAGAGATTTTTCTGGTTGTTTCATGGTATTTATTAGACTTTAGGCTTCCAGGGTTTTTAATCTCATTAAATAAAAAGGACCTACAGATGTAAAGCCTTAAAAGCTTGAAGTGGGAAGTGTCAAATGAGTATTAAGTGCAATAGTATAATAAAGGTTTTAAGAGAAGAGTTTGGAAAACACAAACACACATACACACACACACACACACACACACACAAAACTTGGGGGAAATAAACTGTTTTAAGTAAATTCTCATTTAAGCAGCACCATGCTAAAGTAAAAAGAGCCTTTAGGAAAGTGGCTCTGACAGTGGTACCCAGGAAAGAGACTGGCCACAGGAGACTCAAGGTTTACAGTTCAAAGATTACAGATTAAGCCCAGACAAATGATCTTCAATAAGGATGCCAGGACCATTCAATGGGGAAAAAGTATTTTCAACAAATGGTGTTATGTAAACTGGATACCCACAAGCAAAAAACTGAAGTTGAATCCTTACACAATATACAAAAATTAACTCAAAATGGATCAGAAGCCTAAAGGTAAGATTTGAAACTACAAAACTCTTAGAAGAAAACATAGGAGAAAAGCTTCATGACACTGGGTTTGGAAATGATTTCTCGTATATGACACCAAAAGCACAGGCAATAAAAGAAAAAAGTAAATAAACTGGACTACATCAAAATTAAAAACTTCTGTGCATCAAAGGACACAGTTAACACAGTGGAAAGGCAACCCACATTATGGGAGAAAACATCGGTAAATCATATGTCTGATAAGTGGTTAATATCCAAAAAATAAAAAGAACTCCCACAACTCAACAACAGATAAGCAAAACAACCTGATTTAAAAATGGGTAAAGGACTTAGACATTTCTCTAAAGAGACATACAAATGACCAATAAGTACATGAAACGACATTTAACATTATTAGTCATTAGGGGAATGCAAATCAAAACCACTTCACATCCATTATGACGGTTACTATTAAAAAAAAACAGAAAAAAAAACAAGTGTTGGCAATGACATGGAGAAAATGAAAACCTTGTACACTGCTGGTGGGAATGTAAAATAATGCAGGCAATATGGAAAACAGTATGGTGGTTCCTCAAAAAAACAAAAAATAGAACTACCCTATAACCCAGAAATTCCACTTCTGGTTATATACCCAAAAGAATTAAAATCAGGGACTCAAACATACATTTGTGCACACATGTTCACAGCAGCATCATTCACAACAGCCAAAAGGAGGAAGCAAGCCAAGTGCACATGGTGGGATAAATGGGTAAACCAAACATAGTATATACATATGGAATATTACTCAGCCTTTTTGTATTTGTTTATGTGATGGTCAGTCAGGTGCAGCCACAAGAGGAGAGGCTCAGGAAAACAAAATTGATTTATTCACAGGTCCTAAAGACAGGAGGTATGGCACGCTTTGCCCAACTACATGGGAAAGACATAAGGGTGGTCAGGAGGCAGAAGACAGGGCAAGGGAGGGGGTGCTTAGGCCATGATCTGAATTGGGGTCTCTGAAGGAAAGGCAGAGCAGGGAAGGGTAAACAGCTCTGGTTGGCTAGTTTGGCTAGCTTGAATAATTCCTGTGGGCTTTCAGCTATACAGGTGGTCTCCAGTGGCCTGGTACCAGGCCCTGGAATGATTAAAACAGAAGAGTATTGCCTGCTGGGGTGTAAGGGCTGTATAGAGGAGATATGACTTTGGATTGAATAGTCTGTATGTTCAAAGGCTTGCTCCAGGCTGGGCTCCTTGCCATCTCTAAGAATTGGCTAACCCTAGAAGAGGCAGTTTCTGCCCAATTGGGAAGGGTTTTTAAGATATCAAAACATCATAATATACAGAAAAATTTAAATATATACAGAAACCCCCTCATGGTAAAAAGTAAATAAATTATATTTTAATGGAAAAAATTCTTGATGTCAATATCTTTGGGGCTAGACATTCAAAACCACATTTAACATAGTACAACATTCCTTTTAAACTTCAGCCCCTCTTGTGAAAAAAAGCCCAATTTTTATTTCCAAAATGCCCAACAAGTTACATGGTAAGGGGCCCCATTTGGGTGTCATAAAGGGGTACTTCCTAGCACATGTCTAAAATGCCAACCCTGAATAAAACAGGTACTAAAAACATTTCTTATAAGTTTGATTAGGTCCTCTTTGTTTATTTTTGCTTTTACTTCTTTTGCTTTGAGAGACTGACCAAAGAAAACATTGGTTTGATTCATGTCAGAGAATGTTTTGTGGTGTTATGTCTTACACTTAAGCCTTTAAACCATTTTGAGTTTATTTTTGTGTATGGTGTGAGGGTGTGTTCTAACTTCATTGATTTACATGTGTCCAGCTTTCCCAACACCACTTGCCGAAGAGACTGTCTTTTCTCCATTGTATATTCTTGCCTCCTTTGTTGAAGATTAATTGACCAAGGTGTGTGGGTTTATTTCTGAGCTCTCTGTTCGATTCCATTGATCCATATGTCTGTTTTTGTGACAATACCACATTGTTTTGATTACTGTAGCTTTGTAGTATAGTCTGAAGTCTGGGAGGGTTATGCCACCAGCATTGTTCTTTCTCTTCAGAATTGCTTTGGCAATTCTGGGTCTTTTGTGGCTCCATATAATTTTTTAAATATAAATTTATTTTTGGCTGTGTTGGGTCTTCGTTTCTGTGCAAGGGCTTTCTCTAGTTGCGGCGAGCAGGGGCCACTCTTCATCACGGTGCGCAGGCCTCTCATTATCATGGCCTTCTCTTGTTGTGGAGCACAGGCTCCAGACGTGCAGGCTCAGTAGCTGTGGCACACGGGCTTAGTTGCTCTGCGGCATGTGGGATCTTCCCAGACCAGGGCTTGAACCCATGTTCCCTGCATTGGCAGGCAGATTCTCAACCACTACACCACCAGGGAAGCCCCCTCCATATAAATTTTAGGATTTTATTTGTTCTAGTTCTGTGAAAAATGTCATAGATAATTTGATAAGGATTGCACTAAATCTGTAGATTGCTTTGTGCAGTATGGTCATTTTAACAATATTAGTTCTTCCAATCCAAGAGCATGGGATATCTTTCCATTTCCTTGAATCATCTTTGATTTCCTTTATTAATGTTTCATAGTTTAGAGTGTATAGGCCTTTCACCTCCTTGATTAGGTTTATTCTATGTATTTTATCTTTTTTGATGCAATTTTAAACAGAATTATTTTTTTACTTTCTCTTTCTGATATTTTGTTGTAAAAGAAATGCAACA